TCTGAACATCCTAGGAAAACCCATCATTACAATTCACATATGTACTATTTATCAATAACTGGAAATCGCATAGTCAATTAACAATACATACTTATTGTAAATTATGTTATGTAAAATTTACGTTTAGAGTGTGCCATTACAACAAAAATACATCAAAGGCTGCTAAACTAACAGTAAAAAATTACATCAATTAGATATCAAATAAAACAAAAGTTAAAGAAATATTTAAAAGAAATTATGAACTAAACCAACCTTAAAGTAGTCTGGAGTTCATATCGCATATTTCTACCAACCTGAAACAAAGAAGAAAAAGTTATTATCAAACCATGGTAAATGAGAACCAAACAGTATTTTTACTTACTTATGTCTTAAGAAAGCATTCAGCAACAAATATAGGCCTAAACTGTAAAATAATTTATGAAATGAATCATATAAAAATAATGTCACACAATTTATCAAAGGATGTTGAATATAAGCTATAAAGATTTAATTAAAAACATAAGTTATTTTAAAATTGTAATTATTAAGGTTGAAGTGGTTATTTAAGAGAATTCTTCACCTATAAAACTTGTTATTTATATTAATTAAGTACTAAAAGTCGTCCAGTGATCAACAACTCGACCAAATTTACAGACTTCTCTGTTTTCGCCACGCAGTAAATAATAATGTGATTGGAATTTCTTTAATTCGTTTGGATTTTTTGTTTACAGTATATTTCGTTGTTATTTCGTCCCCAGCATGGTAATCCACAATGACCACGTTAATTTTTTAACAATTTTTAATTTATTTTGTGTGCTAATTTGTTAGCATATTTTAATTTATAAAGGTATTTTGCACATCTACAGGCAAGTATCTCTCTAACAGTATCCGTAGATTTTCCCTGCAATGCACACGAGCTGAGAAAACAGTTTTTAAAGAAACATGTTTGCCTATTAATATATAGATTTTAGTGGCACTGTAACTATGAAACTAAGCACTCCTAAAAATGATTAAAACACGTAGAATTCAGATAAAAGATATTCTATTTAATTTACCTCGCTTAAAACACTATTGAAAAGAAACTTATGATTTGTAACCAAAATGCAAAACGTATAGGCACTGACCAAATTGAAATATTCTTACTTAGCTATAAGATCATACATGTACAATATTTTGGCAACCTTATATGGAGACTCTTAAACATATACGTTCGCACTAACTTTTTAAAAGTAGTAACAGGAGTAAGCCTATAGGATTAGAATGAATATCGTACACCATAGGAATCAACAAGAAATACCGAGTTAAACTCAATACAAGTTTTCGAGTTAAACTCAGCAGAGTTGTCCTCAAACTGCTACTTGTGCGGAAACTGTTCTTATCTAGAAGGTATTCTGGACAGATTCCAGACAGTAAGAAATATTGAGGTCACTGGAGTGGGCACGGGATAACATAACTTGACCTGCCCTGCCCGTGACCCTAAGTATGTGGCTTAGCAAATCGGACTTTATGTTAGAAAGTTATGTGAGTTACAGAAAAATGTATAACATAAAAAACAAATTATCAATGGGATCTTCAAATAGTTTTAAGGCTTACATTGTAGGGGGTAAATAGTGTAGTTTTTTGGTTTTGTGAATCGTCGGTTTTAATATATAGGGTGATCAGGTGTTGTCGTGCATGGCGAGTCAATATATACATAAAAATGTTTGTCAAACCAAGATAGATTCACCAATGAATTATCACTGAACTAAAATAAAAATAAATAATATTAAGTTTAACAATACCGTATGATTTAATTTGAAAAGATCTAAAATCTATTTAAAAGTGTAGACCTACTTACTTTCAAAACACTGCTTATGTGAGGACAAAAGATGCAAAAGTATAAAAAAAATACCTTAGAGTAGCATAATATCAATTACGGTACTTTATATAAATGTTTCATGAGAAAAGATGTTTTACAATAATCCTTCTATTTCAGTTATGTTCCTTCACCTGTAGGTAGCTCATTATGTAAAAACAAAGAAAACTATGAGCAAATTTCAACATGACTTTTACTAATTTTAAGTAGACGAAAGATTTCCACAATGTAAATAATGCTCCATCCCACCCTTTCAAGTAAACAAACATCTGGTAATTGCATTGACTATCAGCTGTTATTTGAAATTAATTACATAATGTAAACCAAAAGCATGTAAGGCGTAGCCCTTTGGAAACCACCCTGTGGGACAAATCCCCAAGAGAATTCGTTCATACCAATACTTTTCAGTGAATAAACACGTTCTGAGCTTCATTTTTATGTTCCATATGCCTATGTTTTTATTTGCTTAGTTGCCTTATAAACTATAACCACAATTTTTACTGTATCAATGCAATAGATTATTGCTCTCCAATGTAGGGGTTCCACTAACAGTCGATCGCTAAACCGAATCAGCGCCATGCACAGATTTGCATAGTGGTTGTTTTCAATTGGCTATCAGGGATGTTATTGCTGTTTACTAATGATTGTTACTTTACGGCCTTCATGATACTAGATTCCATTTACTGAATATCCTATCTAGTTTTTATTCCTCCAATTTGCTTAACCATTTAAAATTGCATAAAATACATATTTGCCATTCAGTATATGTCGTTTACGAACATGCTAAGTTAATGTATTTTTAAAAGAACACAAGTATTCACGTAAAACTGTTTAATTCCCCAGGTGCTTGTGAACTACCGGAATTGAACTCGTCACCCTCACATTGAACATCGAAGATGATTACCAATAAGTTAGCAATCCACTCATGGACTTTAATACATATGGCATAATAAAGATTGGATATTGATTGTTACAATTCAAACTTTTATTTTATGAATGATGAAAAAGGTCCACAACGTAGCTGTTCTTCTCCTAGGACTGAATTAAACTAAAATATTAAAATGCTCTAATTAAAAGTCTTTTACCAACTATGTTGAAATTTGTTACAAACAATTATTCTTCGTAGACTAATTATTTAATAATTTCAACTTTGATACCCCATTATACCTGCAATTGGAAACTCAAACAATGAATCTATTGAGGCGGAAAAGAGATGCGGCTAATTGAAATACTTTGCCAACAATGTTATTGCTTTATTGTAAGGGGTTGTTAAAACTTTGCAGACTGAATATAAACTTTACTTGTTGAGAGATGTTTTCGATGTAGGTTTTGCTACCGTAAATACAGTAAATCATTAACGATTAGTAATGGAAAGAGTAATAAATGCAAGGACCAATCAGGTAACACATTATTAATTGTAGCTATTAGCGGCCATGTTGGAAAAATGTTAATGGAGTTCTTTTATTTGCTTACTGCCACACATGCTTTCAGCATTGATGGTTGTGAATTGAAAAATTTAACAATGTATGGGACTACTGAATATGCAATGCTTAACATTTTTACGATAAAAACCTAATTAATTTCTCTATTAGAATAATTTACTCTGTTTATATTTCGATAAAATTTTAAATCTTTTTTGCTACACCTGATAAAATGAAACCAAATTTAATCAAAACTATGTTGTGCAATTGGTTTTTGTTTTTATTATCAACAGCGAGTGTGGCATTGTTTTCTAGAGTTTTCAGAGAAAAATAATGTAGGTCATGACACTTATAATGTTAATGCAGTTATGTTGAGCTTAAATAGAAATAAGTTTAAAAAACTAAGAAGTACAGTTTTTCTTCTAGCAATAAGATATGATAAATGCGTTTGAACTGATTTGGGCATAGTTTCTATAACCATAAGTGGGCAAGTTACTGTTTTTTACCGGGGTCCCAAGTTCAAAACCAGCCAATCACCAATGGATTTTATTCATGTGATAATACCGCAACCCTCTAGTACTAGCCTGAAGTAATGTGTAAAACAATTCCGGGCTAGAACCTGAAGATAAAAAAGTCTTGAGGATTTAAAAATTTAACTACATTTTCTATTGTTACTTTGTAGTTTTATTACAACGAATAAAACGAATGACATAAACAGTGTAGCCTTTTTGCATAGAAGTTTCGTACCTACATGAAATAAGCAATATATTTATATAAAAAAATCTTCATTTTATACAAAATGGCTGGAATAAGGCATCAAACATAAACTAGTTTAAGCAACAATATAAAACTTGACTGTAAAACCGTTAGCTTAACACGACAATTGAGAGCTCGCTGACACATTGTTTACATTCTTATGTGTCTTTTACATAATCTAGTAAAAGGTACAGACATTTCCTTTAACTAAACCGGTACTTAACCGTTACTTAACCGTTACTTAAGAACACAAAGACAATTGATATTTGGCTTTTGTTTATTTCAGAGGCCAGCAATCAATTTTCATCTATGAGTTTTGATTGAATGATAAGTACTATAAACGGTTTACATTTTGGGCGTTACGATTTTGTGTGATAATATTATTTAGTTAAATATTTATAAATTAAATAGGTTTGTAACTTGACGGAAGTAACTGTATGAAATTATGTTACCACCACCATTAATCGTCTTATTTTGTCAGTGCCTGGTTTTTATCATGCATTTTTTTCAATATGATTACACAAAGTGTTACGCAAAAAGTATTAAAATTTCAAAGTCGAAGTAAACTGGAACGTTTCTTGTAAAAATAAAACTTGTTTAAAATATAAAATATAATTTTGGTAAAGATTTGAAAGAGGAGTAGACCAATGATATTAACTATGTTTATTAGGACAATGTATCTATAAAACGATTATTAATTATGTTTTTACAAAAGGAGTGACATAATGTTACAAGAGGTACATTGCACAGTGAAACGTTAGATCTTTATTAGACCCATTTACGCAGCATTACATAATGTGTGGCAACATTAGTCATAAGTCACATGTGTTTCAATTATCTACTTTAAACTATCCCAGCTACTATCTCTTTAAACTCACACTAAGTTTGATGGAGTAAAAACTAAACGTATAATATTTCTCAAAATCACCACATAGCATAATAACATAATACCTAAACAAGTCGTAGCTAGGGCAAATGAACAATAGGAGTATATGTTTGAACAAACTTTATTAGGTCATGTGTTCAGCAGTACACTTAGGACAAACCCTTGGACAACCCAGACAGTTCTGAACCTGAAACGTTGGAGCCTGAAATGTTTGAATTTCCTGATATATTTGAAGGATTCATCATATGCAAAATACTCATCATACTGCCGACCACACCTCCTCTAGTCTTGAGCTTGATCCTTACACACTGAATTCCATTGATTGTCTAAAAAGAAAGTTAAAATTTATATTATAGAAAATAAAACAGATTTTACTAATATTTCATCTGCTAGGAATTTGATCGAATGCTTACACCTACGACCAATGATTGTGTTTTACAGTGTGAAGTTGAACCTTCGCCTATTATGCGATTGGATCACCTGTTTGAATCAGCTGATTCTCAATCGATTAAACCATTGCTAAACATACGGTCCATTGAAAGATGGAGGCGAGTGGAGAGTTAGGCATGACTACGATCAATGAAATTATTGGTTGAGAAATTGTAAGGTTCGTAAAAGATGGATTGACCACGTCAAGAGAAAGAACGAGGATAGGCATTAAAGAAAAGTTTTACTTAATTGGAGTAAGGAAAAGAGGAAGCCCTAGAAAAAAAAAATGGCATCAAGATGTAGAAGAGGATTTAAGAAAATTGAATGTAAGGCAATGGAAAGATAAAGTAAAAGAGAGAAATGATTGAAGACACACTGTGAACTAGGCCAAGCTCCACACAGGGCTGCAGTGCCAAGGGTAAGTTAAAGTAAGAAGTCATAGTTAAATGACCTCTTATATAATTTACACATTATATAAGACATTACATTAACACATTTACATTAACACGTGAAATTAACATGTAAGTTTTCTCTGTATGGTAACTTGTTATTGTTAAAGTTAATAATTCAAAGTCAAACTATGTAGGTGAATAAGCACCTACAACAAGTAATCAAAATTGTTATGGTTATAGTAAAGGAGGGTAATTATTACCTGCGGGCCTGCCAGAGTGCCCCCGTTGTTGTGGTACTTTTCGCAGGTGCCTTTAGGTGTGATGATGATGACTGTTTGGGGGTTTTCGCTGTATAGAATGTGTGTTATAACGTACTTGTTCCCTTCATTTTTTTCATCGTAGCTGTGAAAAAGAAACATCACTTGGTGGGTAAAGAGAAAGAAGTATTCAGAATATCCGGTCTTAAAAATATTGCTTTGACTGTGTATAAGTGGAAATTAGGGGTTTATTCAGAGTCCTAGCTACGATATTTCATGATAAATAAATCTAATTTTTAAATAAATATTTAGCTATAAACCTATTTTTTGAAAACAGCTATATGTATCAGGCCTGCTTAAGAAGGATTTTTAAACATTTCCATACATTAAAAGCACTTGTGGTCAGCTTGGAGAAGCCATACCAAATATTAATATATTGTGAATTTTTTCCCCAAACGTAAGCCACTAAGATTTATTGTTCATTTAATTCCTTTGTTGCTCTTACATTTATTTTTGTTCAACATTTTCTTAGACTTGTATGTACTCATTTTCTTTGTTCTAAAAAATCTATTTATATAATTTATCATTATTACTATTTTTCCTAAGCAATTAATCTATAGTAATACCCTTGACTTTTAATACAACCATGTAATGGTAATAATAAACAAATAGAAACCCAGATTCACCTTGATTAAAAACAAGAAAAAACCTACCCAAATAGAAGCAATACATTATAAACCAATATTATGCTTACAGATTGGTCTACTTCAAACATCAAATGATATTGAAGTGCAACATTTTTTAAATTTTCTCAAGTTTGTTTTTTTAGCATAAAGAGGAGTAGAGTGTGGTAATGATTTTTTAAGTGGTTGTTGGTAATTTTTTCCTTGAGTGTGAACGTGCAAAATATTCAGAAAAACAATGTATGAGTGACAATGGAGAGTGAGACTTGACAAGTTTTAGGAAAATTATCTGGTCCTAGGTAAATCGCACACATCCCCAACGTCTGAAGCCTGAAGAAAGAAGTAAACCTTATTGAAAGTTCCCATATGATTCAATAGTCTAAACAGCTTCGAAGGCTTTACGGGCAAGATCCTAGCTTTAAAAAGTGATAAAATGTAGTGATGGGAAGACGGAACAACCCTCAACATGGATGGGTCGTACTTCGTCTTGTTACTGATTGAGCTATGGACTCAACAATATACTTAGAGATAGTTCAGACTGCAGTAAAATACCACAAATAACTTAGCATTACTTGTCATAGCAAGGGACATAGACATTGTCCTGTGTAGGCTGTGTTGGACCAACTCCATACGTAAACTGGATCTTCCTGCGACAAACTCCGTCAAAGTGGTCCTTCTCTTTTATAAACACTCTCAGATCTTTTTCACTGAAGAATTTGATGGTTTGTCCTTCGATTTCTGAAAAAAATATTAGTAGTATTTCAGCTGATGATTATTCGAACGGTCCTGATTCTTGTTCAATACTGTTCAATGAAATGGCGACCATACAAAGTAGGTATTTTAATTCTGATGATTATTAATTATCATGATTCTGAGCAGTTAACAGGGATTGTTAATTTGCTTTTAGTGCAAGAAAAACTAGTAATATTGAAAAATGAAATAGCATTTCCACAATCTTCTTATGTAACATGGCTGAAAGGTGTGTACTATTGTTTTTAGCCATACGGCTTATAAAAATCAATTTGATTTTGTAAAAACTAAATTAAAAATGTTTTCATCTTAAAGTGAAATAAGGATTGGTCCAAAACGTTAAACGTAGATTTTTCTTTGCTATTAAGGGGTTAGCCGATACAATACAGTAATGAAATGAACTGATAAATGTTAAGAGGTGGCCTAATAAATTTTCTAATATTCTAGATCTTAATAAAGCCTTCGTACGCCAGGATTAAATTTTATAACCTTCTGTCTGATACTGTTTTACAGATAACAGACAAAAGTAAAAAAAATTAAAGCAACACTAAAAACCTTTATGTTATCCAAGCCCGTCCATCCTCTGGATGAGTTTGTCGGATGAATGCTGTAAATCTATAGGCAATTGTTTTTAAAGTTTTTTTAGATATAGTCAGTACTTAAGATTTTATTTAATTGTATAACACAATTTTTGTGCAACATAGAGTCTTAAATAAAGGGTATATGACTATGATTATGACCTGAAATAGTTCCTTACTTTGTCGATTTGCCTAAAAAGTGCCACTAGTTAATCATTATCTAATGCTACTTTTTATTTATAAGTGTAAGATTAGAGAATTTTACGGCTGAACCATCGATCGGTCTAAAAACACTCGCCTTTATATTAAAACATATCTGGAATCTATGAAAGTTTGACAATTGGTTAGTGAAAATTAAAATAAAACAAATTATTTACAACCAAAAATTACAGACCTTTCCTGGCTGAGACGGTGACAAATATTGTTATCTGGAAAGAGAAATATATATGAAATGAAACATATATAAAAGACCACTTTCCATGAAGTAAAATGAAAATTTAAAATAAACAGGTCAGGAATATAACAATTATTATAATGTACTGTACTTCTTATTAACAAGTGAAGGGAAATGTAAGAAATAAGTTATATTATTTAAATTTCACAAGGTTTATTTATAATAAAATCTTAGAACGTTTGAATTAAAATTGACAAATATTATATACTTAGTTCCCCCGTTTACGTCTATAATATAACAGGCATGAGAATAATTAATTGAATTTTTACTTCTGAAGAATACTTATTTTGATTGAACATAGTAAATCTACAAACAATTTTATGAAAAGAAATTATAACAAATTAATACTTACTAGAATTGAACATATTAGGACGATTAAATTTGTCATTTCCACTGAAAAACATCAACTACAAACGGAGGAACTAAATAACTCGTCCGTAGTACAAAGGTACTCAAAACAACGAGAACAAGAGAGTTACCTAATTGTATGATCTGAACCTTTTATGTAATGCGAACATATGAACATATTGGCAGCTATGTTAATTGCTGCTCTCACTATTAGTTCTTGCTTCACATATAACAGTTCAAATAGAAATTTTAAAATTCATTTTTTACTCACTGGTTTTAAATATTACCAAGGTTTTCATACTATCGAATGTTGTAATGACTAGCCAATACGTGTAAACTATCATATTCTTAGATTTAAAGGCTTACTTTTAACCTAAAGCTTAGCCTGACCCTTGACTGTAATTAACAAGATTTTGAAAAAAAAAAACATTGTTGACCCCCTTTAATACTCCACGAGCGTTACCTTTATTTTATAAGCCTCAAAAATTGATATTATGAAAGAAAATATTTTTTCTTATTTCACTAGAAATAGCCCCTTATCGTAGTTTTAAGGAAAATGAGTTAATGATAAGGTCTAAGGATGTTTCCACTGACAGTTATTTAATATTGTTAACGGTTTATTTTTGTAGTATGAGGCCTAAATATACTTAACTTTAATACTTTTAATATATTTGGGGCCCTAGATTGTTACAAAAAGATGACAAAAAATTTATTTTGAAATAGTTGATATCGCTTACTAACCTTGCTTTATGGTAACTAAACTAATTTACCTAAAATTTCAAAACTGTCAAACATAAGTAAGCCATAAAATGAAAATAAAAATCCTATTACCTCCAAGTAAAAGAGAATCATGGTGGTCTTTTTTAGATTGAGAATTCATTTTTATTTGTTAAATAATTAAAAATAATTATCCATAAAAAAAACAAATGTATTGGATATAGAAATTAAAACATTGAAACAGTACATTGACTTAAGCTAAACAGCGACTAAAAGTTTTAAAATTATTTTATCTAAAAATAAAAATATATGGATTCCTACTACAAATGAGTAAAATTACCGAAAATCTTGATACAGTAAAAATGTTGTATATCTGCAGAACATTTTTATTGGTAATAAAATATTGGTGTGGCAGAACGTCCAGACAGATACATAAGATCCAGGTAAGCTAGTAATACAATGTGACGTGTTAGCAGGAATTTAGGGTCAGCATTACAAATTTTTTGCTGACAATATGAAAGAGATAGTTTCGAACCTGTTATTTCGAGGTTGATTCACACATTTTCATCCCAAATATAACTTACTACATACATCTACTATAGTTGGTATTGGCAAGTACGTTCCTCACATGGTCTGTCTCACATGGGTGTTTTGTTATATTGTAACAATAACAATAACACAGAACACCAACAATAACAAAGAAACAATAAACTTGTTTCTCAAGACATGGATTACATTTTATCACATTTTAATGCGAGGGAATTTAACATAAACCGTCTTTAAAATGTTCTGGTTGGTTGCAGATTATATTATAGCAGGAGAATTGCGGATTTTTCGTCTTGAAAATTAAAACCTAATCTCAGGGAGAAAACAAAAGTGACAACTAGCTGTGTGAATACTGTTTGTCAGTACATATTATATTTGAAAATCTTATGTCTTATCAAATTTCAGCTAATAAAATAATCATCTGGATGGTGACTAAAATTGTTTAACTATGAGCCAAATTTTATGTACCCATATAATCATTACCACATGATCTTCATAACAAAAATAAAAGTTTTGGATGATAGAATAATGCAATGATAAAATCCTAGATAACCTCACTGATTGCTAAAATCCCTACCCGAACTTTATTTTGTTTGTTAAAATTGCATTTTTTAAACTCTTCATTTTCAATGCGTAACTTAGGCTACTTACTATTTATTAAGATTCAGTTATTTATCTAACAAGCAATTGGTCCTCCTTAGATAATTTTTTCATGTCATGTGGCAATATTACTAAGTCTATATGCAAGTTGTTCTGTAGCGTGATCTATTCTCGTACACATGACAGTAATGCATCTTTGAAGTTAGCAAAGTTGTTTTTAGAATATACAACCAATCTTAGAAAGTTCTCATTTTGGTCGTTTCTACAGTATTACCACTACTTTCCAGGTAAAATACATCGGAAACATAGATACATAAACACATAAATAGATACATAAACATAACGTATTCCACACATAACATAAAATAACGTAAAGATGGTTCAAATAATTGAGACCTGAATAAAATCGTTACCCAATTCAGTTTGTGCCCTTAAATTTAGACTGATGACAACCATTCCTACGCAGACACCTGTCCATGTAGGCAAATATCACAGCAGATTTCAACGCACAAATTTTCTCCTAGTTAGTATCTTGCTCTCTGCTTTAGTTTTAATTTGTAGTGTACATTGGGATATACAGGGTGTTTTTTTAAAAACTTGCATCTTTATTTATGTAAAAACCGCAATAGATAGAAATATGCAGTTTGCAGGAATCATCTATTGACGTAGGGGGACCAATTGTTTTGAATTCAACGTTACATTCACATTACCCCCCTTTCCCCCCTGCCCCCAACTTTATTTTTTTTAATAGCAAGGTACCCCTTGTGACATATCAAATAAAAGAGCATGAAAAAAGAAAATGTTTGATGAAAAAAAATTGAAAATCGGTTCATAAATTTGTGAGATATTCCCCCCTTACCCCCCCCGAACTTAATTTTTTTTTAATAGCAAAGTACCCCTTGTGACATATCAAATGAAAGAGCATAAAAAAATAAAAATTTTGGTGAAATTTATTTTTCATTTGATATGTCACAAGGGCGGGTACCTTGCTATTAAAAAAACAAGTTATGGGTAGGGGAAAAGGGGGGTGATTATCTCACAAATTCATGAGCCGATTTTAAATTTTTTTTCACCAAAAATTTTCTTTTTTCATGCTCTTTCATTTGATATGTCACAAGGGGTACTTTGCTATTTAAAAAAAATAAGTTCCGGGGGGGTGAGGGGGGAATATCTCACAAATTTATGAACCGATTTTCAATTTTTTTTCATCAAACATTTTCTTTTTTATGCTCTTTTATTTGATATGTCACAAGGGGTACCTTGCTATTTAAAAAAAATAAGTTGGGGGCAGGGGGGAAAGGGGGGGAATGTGATTGTAACGTTGAATTCAAAACAATTGGTCCCCCTACGTCAATAGATGATTCCCACAAACTGCATATTTCTATCTATTGCGGTTTTTACATGAATAAAGATGCAAGTTTTTTAAAAAAAACACCCTGTATAGACGTTTTTCATTTTCATTAAATTCTCTTTCAACCCTCTATAAGCTGTAAATGTAAATGTTACATTTTTTAGTTTATAGCTTTCTTTGACAATGTCTATTGCACAACTGTGTCTACTGACAATAAAGGATTCTTATTCTTATATATTTCTTGGATAACGCAAGATCACAGTAAATATAATGACCTTAGCAAAATGCTCTACAGAATACGTCGTAAGCATTGGAGGCAATTCTGGTTTTGACTCTTAGATGATAGGAATTCCTATTGTGCATGCATAACTACTCATCAGCCAATGTATAACTATTAATATAAGTAGCAATACTAATATGGTAAATCATATCATGTTCAATATATTCTGCAATTGTTATAGCTTCAAATATCCTCCAACCACCTCCAAAGTATTCACAGCAATCAAAATAGGTTAAGTTTAACACAGAGAACAGTAAAAGGTGCTACAACTGAGACATTATGTAGTTTTAGAAGAAAATGTGAGTTTTATTATTGTAAACAAGACAAATAGTATGCTCAAAACATCTACAAACTTTGCTGATGTCTGTAAACAGTTAATTAAATCCCCTTTCTTGTGTTTTGTGCTTGAGTAGTCCCCGCATTGACTGGCTTTCTTTTAAGGCCAGAGAGGTTTGAAGGAGACATGAACATAGCCATCGCTCTATTGACCAACCCATCGGACCGATCACCTTTCACCTTCTTTTTGATTTTTTTACAGGAGTCATCATCAAGTGCCTAGAACACAAAATTAATTTTTATAACAAAGAAACATTAAGGGGTTTGAAGTTGCTCCAATTTACATTTTAGAATTGATAAAAGCATATGTACAGGACTAAGTACGTTTTGTATCAATATCTTTGTTTAGGCATCACTCACTTTGTTCAAATGAGTTAAACGTAGTCCTTGTCACCACAAAATGTTACACACATTACAAATAAAAATAAATAATAAATTATCACCGACTAAAAATCTCTATTTTTGACGTTTTGCCAAATTAAGTCAACATTTTCAAGGTTACCCTATTTTTCTCACGTATTTTCATTTTTAATGTAAGTGAAAAAGACGGTGAATAATGCCTTGACGTTTATTTATAACTGAATGACCTCACCTACAATCAATGAAGCGTAGGTCTTCTTCAATAGTTGGGCCATTAAAAAATGTTTTTTGGTACACGCACAATTTAAGAACCTAAAGTGTAATTATTATCTTTTTTAATGACTTCTTAAGGTTGTAGTCTATCATTCTATACATATAAAACGAGAATGTGTGACATCTTCAGGGAGCCTAGAGCATTAACACTTTTATTCAGTGTACCATGAATATACTAGAATTTGTTACCCAGTGCTGAAAAATCTGTCTTAATTTTAGTGCGAGAAATAATAATTTATTGCTAACTTGATTGCTGAGATCACAACACATTGTAAACAAAATCTGTTTTGATCAATATGTGTTCTATTTTGACATGAAAATCGCAATTTACTTCAGGGGAGAATGAGTAATAAAGACTTTCCCATTATTCAAATTGTTAAGGATTCTACCTCTTAAACAATGGTTGTTTTTAAAGTGTTACGTCTGTTTTTTTTAAAGAAGTGGAAATAGGAATGATCAGGAAACTTATAGATCTGTAAATTTACGAAACCTATATTTTAAACATTATTGCCACCAGGACTGATGTAGAATGATATGATAGGTTACGTACCTTTTTTATTCCGTCGTCAGTCCTAAAATAGTCAAAGGGTGACTAGTTTCGGGTCAGAAATTACCCATTTTCAAACCCATTTTCATCAAATCGATTGGTCCAAAATCCGACAGAAATCTTCGTTATGAGGTACAAACACATGTCGACACATGTGAACCAATATGACATAGAAATCCCCAGACCAAATTTAACTAATTTTAAAAAGTTTTACTTATACTTAGCCCCGAAAATTTTTAATAGTTTTCCTACAAGACTAAACAAATGTGAAAACAAAAACATGTTTATTGGTGATTTATTGGATTATCTTTTAGGAAAATAAAATATTGATTATTTCTTTTACTCTGTTTTGTAGTACCTAATAAAATAAATAGTTTTAATAATATGTACATACAAATATTTATAAATCTTGGAAAGTTGTTTTTATGATTTTGTGTGTGTTATAAATGAATAGAATAATATTCGACCGGTGTTCCGCCCACCATTACTCTTTGAGTTTATTGTATCAAAGTAGATTGTGCAAATCCACCAAATCTGGTTGATTAACCTTGGTGGTTATTGTTTCGTGTACTGTAATCTTTCTGGATTGTTCAGTTGTATATAATATTAAAACAATAAAGATGAACAAAATAAATAAATAATTAAGTATAATTTACCTGGGGTCCACTTCCATATCCATTACTAAAATTCACGTACTTAACACAAAAATCAAGGCGTGTGATGACAATTACTTCTTCAGGTCTTGAACTGTACAACACGTTGGATACGATGTAGTTTTCTCCTTTACTTTTTTCATCGTAGCTGAAAAATATACAAAATCTATAAAGCCCAATTAAATAACAACAGGGTTTGTTTATAAATATAAAAATTATTTTTGTGGATAAAAATTAAATCATGGTCAATTCAAAGTAAAAGTAAATCATATCCGACATGCTTTCAAAACATAGATAGTAAGAATTAAAGATTATATAGTATAATATACGGTTCGTTATATAACTGCTTTACCGTTTACTAATTTTAATTCTTGTTAAATCTACTTGTAAACTACTCAAATTTAGTACGGCAGTATACAATAACTTTGTAATTGGTAAAATAGTTATATATAGTTATCATTAGACCATGAAAGCATTATCGAATACATAGCATTCATCAAAACTGGCTCCAGATTTTATAACATAAATAGGGAAATAAGATGTGAAGTTACTTCTAATGCTGTATGATTGAAACGTCTCGGAACGGTGTAATATATTTTATACTATTATAGATAAAGGGATGGAACTTGGTTAAGTAATTAGCCATAAATATCTACTCTTTTAAGCCATAACTACTTTTATCACTTAAGGGGGACGGCTCACGAGGAGTTGGACGAAATAGGTCGTGTTTGGTATAAAGTTAAAGGTTTCTGTTTGTAAAACACAATACCACAAACGGACAATGGAGTAAAAAAATACAGCCGTTCATTGATTCCTTGAATTTGCAATGCTTAACCATGAGGCAAACTTAACCATAAGTCGATATGCACATCACATTAAAGGTCTTTATTAGTAGAATACAATGCCGCAAATTTGAGCTTAAAATAACAGCTGGGTAAAAAATGGCAACCAGTAACGATTCAAAATGACAGATTCAAGAAATATTTGAACAGCTGACATTTCTTACATGGTTGTCCGTTTGTGGCAATGTGTTTTGCAAAATAAAATGTGATACCAAATTTGACCAATGCTGCTATTTAAGAATTTTGTCTGACACCTCGTGGGCCGCCCCTATTAAAAGGTAAAAAAGTAATATTAGCTTGAAAGAGTAGACATTTATAGTTATTATGGATGTACCAAGTTTTATTACTGTATACAGGGTGTCTCACGAGAAGTGTCTCAAATTGATTACGGAAAAACGGCTTAACGTACAAGGATAAAAAAAATATTTCCTGCTAAACCAACCCCAAGGAATAACGTAAAAATATTTTTAACTGTTTCCCAATACAGGGTGTGCCAAAAACTGAGGGTCTATAGTTCGAATCTCGGAATTTTCAAATGTAAACATATGTCATGTTATACATCATTTTAAAGGTATTTGATAGACAAACATTTTGGCTAAAACAGAAATAAGTTATCTTTTTCCGTTTCAATACAGCGGCATTTAAAAAAAAAAATCAATTTTTTTTAAATACTCTTTGTTTTCTATACCAACGCATTTAGCCCTTCTCCGGTTGAATTTTCTTACTCGTTATGAAATTAGCTTTACTTTGATATGCTACAAGTAACGGTTTTTAAAAATCATAAAAATGCCAAAAAAATGTTTTTTTGAAAATTTTCTAATGCTTATTTTTCAAAAGTTTCCAATAGCAACATATGTCAAGTAGCACATCATTTTATAGGGTTTTAATTCCTAACAACTATGTAATTTACACTTACTTCGTATCTCTTTTAGTTTTTGCGTAAATTGCTAATTTTCAAAAATAAATCTTTTTGGAATTTTTATAATTTCAAAAAACCGTTACTTGTAGCATATCAAAGTAAAGCTAATTTCATAACGAGTAAAAAAAATTCAACCGGAGAAGGGCTAAATGCATTGGTATAGGAAACAAAGAGTATTAAAAAAATATAGATTTTTTTCAAAAAAACTGCCGCCATTTTGAAACGGAAAAAGATAACTAATTTCTGTTTTCGCAAAAATGTTTGTCTATCATATAATTTTAACATGATGTATGACATGACATGTGTTTACATTCAAAAATTCCGAGATTCGAACTAGTGACCCTCAGTTTTTGGCACACCTTGTATTGGGAAAAAGTTAAAAATAATTCTACGTTATTCCTTGGGGTCGGTTTAGGGGGAAATAATTTTTTTTATCCTTGTACGTTAAGCCGTTTTTCCTTAATCAATTTGAGACACCTCTCGTGAGAGACCCTATATAACAGTAAAAGATATATTACACCGTTTCGGGACTTTTCAATCACACTGTATAAAAATTCAAGACAAAACGAAGGCCCCGGGTACGATACGAGCAGTGAGCGACGCTGCTCAGGGCCGCTCATGGTTTAATGTCTAGACCATTTTTTTGCGAAAAAGCATCTTGCCGCTCATATGAATCATGCTTCAGTTTTGTTGTAATCAATGCAGTGCTGTTGTTGTAAAACTCCTATTCTCTTCAATAAAACCGTCGCTTGTATCGTAGCCACCGCCACCCGTCACTCAGGTTGCCACCCGTCACTCAGGTTGCCGCCCGTCGCTCAGGTTGCCGCCCGTCGCTCAGGTTGCCGCCCGTCGCTCAGGTTGCCGCCCGTCGCTCAGGTTGCCCGCCCGTCGCTCAGGCTGCCGCCCGTCGATCAGGCCGCCCGCCGCCCGTCGCAGGTTTCGTACCAGCGTCCTACACTACGCGACAAACAACAAAATCTTTACATTTAGTACATCTCAAAATCGTTTTTACCGTCCAACACTGAGGCATAGTATTGTCAGTTTTGCTTCATCAGCGGCTCAAAGAAGTGTGAAATAAGAAAAGTTGGTTTCCATTCATTTTTAACCACTAACTTAATAAACACACCTTTTATGGCAGAGGACTAGGTTTTCGTCTATCAGTGGTGGTGATCCTTGACGTCCGAAGGTGAATTGTATTGTTCACATACATCCGTCGTCTGATTTTGTCGGTTCACCTAACCACACTTCGAGTCCATAATAGCTTTTAAATAAATATGTATTTCCTTTGATTTCTGAAAAACAAATTTCGAATAGTGGCATTTTTTATTTTGTTTGAAATACATAACGATTTGCACTTCTATGAATCTAGAGTTAACTTTAGTATCGCTATTGTGGCAGTGTTTTTTATGTGCGCAATCAAACATTTTATGTGCGGTTTTGTAAACTAAATGATTACTAAGGTTCATTCTAAAACAATGAGTTTTTAGAACAATTAGTAAATGTTTAAAACATAAAAATAATGAAGCGTTGCAAACCTTTTGTTGCTGAGACAGTGCCCCATATTGTCACCTGAAAAGAGGAAGTAATAAATGAAACGAAATAGTCATACGTAAAGTAATATTTTGGATAGATATGTACACAACTAAATCGTAACAAAACAGTTTAATAGTTGTCCAAGCTAAGTTAATTGATAATTTACACTAATCAAATATACTCTAGAAAAATATCGCACCTACAAATAAGACTACAACTCAAATCATCAGCTGTAAAGTGTTAGCTCCTTCAAAATGCTCTTAAAAACTTAGGACTTTACTTTGATAAAAATAACAGACATCACTTGGTAAACAAATGTTAGATAACAATACCTAAAAAAACTGAAAAATACCGAAAAAGTACCTACCACCAGAGCTGCGCAGACTAGGTTGGCAAAGGATGTCATGATTGGACTGCAACTTGAAAACAATAAAATGGAATCAGCAACGGTCTAAAACGTACCAAATAAGTTACGTAAAAGCTATCACAATATTCACTTACGTAATACGAACACTTGGGAAATGATGCAGAGTGCTATTAGTCTGGTCACACATTGTTAATCGTAGGTATTATTTTCTTTTATCACCATTCTATAAAATTTATATTTTACAATTGTATCTATTAGCACAGTAACTCGAGTAAAAATCATCTGATTTGATGACATTTGGTGTAACGAACGAGTTTGCGAACCAGAATGATCGGGCTTGGGGAACAGGGATTTATGTGTAAAAGTGGGGTTTTCACATGGGAGACCCTCAACATGAAAATCTAACAATGTCTTCTAAAGCAGATCTGGTAGGCAACAGAAAGCCAGATCTGCTGTAACAGATTCTGAAAACAGATTCTGTTATATATAACAGAAAGCCAGCCTCAAGGCAAACCCAGAAATGGGGGGTCTCCACACGCTCCGGTAGGCTATATAACTGAAAGCCATCCTCAAGGCAAACCCAGAAATGGGGGTCTCCATACGCTCCGATAGGCTATATAACTGAAAGCCAGCCTCAAGGCAAACCCAGAAATGGGGGGTCTCCATACGCTCCGGTAGGCTATATAACCGAAAGCCAGCCTCAAGGCAAACCCAGAAATGGGGGGTCTCCATACGCTCCGGTAGGCTATATAACCGAAAGCCAGCCTCAAGGCAAACCCAGAAATGGGGGGTCTCCATACGCTCTGGTAGGCTATATAACCGAAAGCCAGCCTCAAGACAAACCCAGAAATGGGGGGTCTCCATACGCTCTGGTAGGCTATATAACTGAAAGTCATCCTCAAGGCAAACCCAGAAATGGGGGGTCTCCATACGCTCTGGTAGGCTATATAACTGAAAGCCAGCCTCAAGACAAACCCAGAAATGGGGGGTCTCCATACGCTCTGGTAGGCTATATAACTGAAAGCCATCCTCAAGGCAAACTCAGAAATGGGGGGTCTCCACACGCTCCGGTAGGCTATATAACCGAAAGCCAGCCTCAAGGCAAACTCAGAAATGGGGGGTCTCCACACGCTCCGGTAGGCTATATAACCGAAAGCCAGCCTCAAGGCAAACTCAGAAATGGGGGGTCTCCACACGCTCCGGTAGGCTATATAACCGAAAGCCAGCCTCAAGGCAAACCCAGAAATGGGGGGTCTCCACACGCTCCGGTAGGCTATATAACCGAAAGCCAGCCTCAAGGCAAACTCAGAAATGGGGGGTCTCCACACGCTCCGGTAGGCTATATAACCGAAAGCCAGCCTCAAGGCAAACTCAGAAATGGGGGGTCTCCACACGCTCCGGTAGGCTATATAACCGAAAGCCAGCCTCAAGGCAAACTCAGAAATGGGGGGTCTCCACACGCTCCGGTAGGCTATAACTGAAAGCCAGCCTCAAGGCAAACCCAGAAATAGGGTGTCTTTACAAGCTCCAGAATATACAAAGGCCAGCATTGAGGTGCTTCATTAAGTTCATGCACCATGGAATCAACGCATGATGATGATCACATATTCATAAGAGTCTATGTTGGAGAGTGGTTTCTTGGTGCTTCAAAAAAAAGCTAACGAAATACCACAGTAAACAAATTCAACTACAATACAGTAGCGTATCACTATATTTTACTGATTAGAAATGTATTGCCAAGGAAGAGTAGGGTACAGTACATAGACCAAAGACTACTCTCAGCGTTCACTTATGATTTCCTCTAGCAAAGCTCGGTCCCCAGGTACTATTACTAATGGTGACCACTTTTTCGTCTAAAAACGCCGTGCGATTTCGCGACTATCGTTAATCGTTCATAGTAATGAACCTATACTTACCTATACAGTCCAGTATGTAGAGTACTATCGAATCACGACATCATCTATACTATCGATGCGATTGTAGTTGTCGTTTGTCACAGCACAGATCCTGATCCTGTCAGAGGCTTATTGTTATACGGACGAAATGTGTGTTTTTTTTTTTTTTTTTTTTTTAATTAAACTGTCATAACCTGGCCTTACTAACCAAACTTGCTGATAATAAAAAAATTGAATGAAGGTTTACTACGGACGAAATGAGAGCATTCTATAATAAAATTAAACTGTCATAATCTAACCTGACTAACCGAACTTGCTGATAATTAAAAAAATATGTTAGATAAAAATCTAATGAAGGATTACTAATATAAAATATGGTTATGTTCATAAAAAAAATTATTAATGCCTCAAATTCTAACAAAAGCTGTACAGTTAATAAGTAATCGCATTTTAAACTTAATATCTTTGATACAAAGTTAGTGTCACCGGTAGGATTCGAACCAGATACCTCTTGGATATCAGCCCAATGCTCTATCCACTACACCATGAACACCGATGACAGCACTACGTATTGTTGCGGTAATGGTGTTCATTACACTCATTCAACCATCAATCGATTGAATCGAACACATTTGATCCGAAATAATATCGATACTTGAATTTGTATTTCGATATTGAACCGATAGTACATGGCGTTTTTGTACGAAAAAATGCTCACCATTACTAATATGACAATTCATATACAACACATTCTGCTCAGTATACTCTGCAGTTGTTATCGTTATGTTTAAAATATTCTCCAAAGTGTTCACAACAATCACAATTGATTATTCTTGGTACAAAGAACAGTAAAAGGTATTACAATAGAAAAATTTTTAGTTTCAGAAGAAAATGTGAGATTTATTAAACCGTATGCTCAAAACATTTACAAACTTTGCTGATGTCTGTGAACAGTTAATTAAATCCCCTTTCCCGTGTTTTGTGCTTGAGTAGTTCCCGCTTGGACTGACTTTCTTTTAAGTCCAGAGAGGTCGGAGGGAGACATGAGCATAGCCATCGCTCTATTGACCAAGCTCTCGGACTTATTGTATTTCACCTTCTTTTTGATTTTTTTACAGGATTCTTCATCAAGTGCCTGGAACAGAAAAGGATATCTTTTATAAACATTTTCGCCACCAAGACTGCTGTACGAATAATGTACCCATTTTCAAACCCACATCGAATTGGTTGGTCAATGAATCCAACGGAAGTCTTCGTTGAATTATAAAAACATGTTGAATCATAAAGTTCACTATTTAAACATTTAGGTAGGCCGGTCACCCTAGAACGGGAAACCGACGCAGGTTGCACGGAGGACACGACATAAATTCGTTCTATAAAAGTGGCCAGCCTAACTAAATGTTTTTGTGTTTTCATGTTAAATAGTGAACTTTATAAGTTAATGTGTGTTTATATATCAAAGAAGACTTCTTTCTGATTCATTGACTAAGCAACTTGACGTGGGTTTGAAAATGGGTCGTTGTACCCAAAACTAGTCGTCCTAGACTAATTAGAAGACTGAAAAAGAACAAAAAGGTATTTAGCCTATCATATTATATATTTTATAGCATAAAACGGTAAGTAGTTTCGATTTGCCTAAATTTACATCCTAGAATCCAAACTTATTTAAATGGAACCAAGGAAATCTTTAAGTTTGGTCATCACTCATCTTTTTGAAATATGGAAAAGGCAACTCTTGTTACATTGTTAAAAAAATTCAAAAACAAAATAAATGATTTGAGTTCTACATTTCTGATGTTTCGCCGCACCAAAGTCAACGTTGTCAGGGTTCCCTTACTTTGTTCTCATAATACTAGGGCATAGGAGGAGAAAGTAAAAATTCAAAAACAAAATAACTGATTTGAGTTCTACATTTCTGATGTTTCACCGCACCAATGTAAACGTTTTCAAGGCTGCCGTGCATTGCTCACGCAACACCGTGATTGCCCATTCACGTCCACGAGTCCGCAAAACGTCTGATATAGAGAATTTTAGTAGGTTATTTTATTTTATTTATTTTTAATGTGAGTGAAATGGACGGTAAGTGATGCCGAAACGTATATATCTAACTGACCTCCCCAAACCATGTCATTAAAAAATATAGGTATTTTCAAATAGTTGAACTAATTGGGAACTGTTTTGGTCCACACATGATTTAAGAGCTTAGTTAATAAATGTTTAACCTCTTTTCAATACTTTACCTGGCCTCCACTTCCTTTGCCATTACTAAAATTCACAAATTTAACGCAGATGCCTTCGTGATCGATGACAATTACATCTTCAGGTCTTTTACTGTACAACACGTTGGACACGATGTATCTCTCCCCTTCACTGTCTTCATCGTAGCTGGAAAAATATATCATACTAATATTATAAATGTGAAAGTTTGTGTGTTTGTTTGAAGTTTAATCACGCAATAACCACTGGACGGATTGTGCTGAAATTTGGCATGATGATAGCTCACATTACGATTAACATTAAAGCATATTCTTATCTCATAAATCCTTCCCAGCTCCGCCCCAGTGGTTCTGTTGTTCCCCATGTTTACCAGGATTTTAAAACCAGGAAGTTAAAAGAATTTAGTCAGTGGTTTAAACTATTTAAGTTGGTTCTATGATATGCAATAGCATAAACAAGTTGTGTTGTAAGGTTTACCAACAAGGTGCAGCATTATTATTATTTTTGCCTTTATGACAACAGCTAATTTGAACTAAGCAACAACAAAAAGGTGTGATAATTTTCCATGTGAAGTGTCAAAATAGGATTGTTTCAGTTATGTTTATGTTTTTAATTTAATGAATAATTTGTGATATTGTGCGGATATTGGATAATTAATTTTTTCTATGGTTTAAGTGCAGTGGTAAAACAGTATGGCTATGGTAGATGTGTTATATTATAGGATAGCGTAATTTTAAAGAAACAAATTTACTTTTATCAAATTGTGTCCTTCCCTATTACAAAAGCAAAGCTTGAGTATAACTGCAATAAGCACTATATTAACACATACTTATTTGCCAAACCCGTAAGAAGGACGGGTACTCTGCTACTTATAGATATAAATCACAAGAATGACATCACTTTTTATAAATATAAAGCATAGAAATAATTTTGAAAATTGAATCGTGAACAATTTAAGCAAAATGGAATGTAGCCCCGGATTGGTTTAGAAACGTAATAAGAATAGAAGATTTATAAAACAGCTTTGCTTAAAGGCTTTTTACATACTATTTAATGTTTTTATAATAGTTTGCAATACATTTTTAAGCCAAAATATATAATATTCAGTCACCGACAGCCCACTATAGCGTTATCGCTTATGAAACCTTAATTAAAACTGGCTCCAGGCTTAAGGACATAAATAGTAGGAAAAATTATAAGAGGTCACTTAAAATATACAAACCCAAAGGCGACTTGGTTGACGAAAAAATAAAATTGTACAATTTACTGAATTTTTAAATCATTTTTACCATCCATTAGTAAGACGTGGTATTTTTTTTAATTTTTTTTTTTATATTTTACTTTTTCTCCATTAACAGCTAGATGGAACGCGAAACAATTAAAGTTAACATACATTTATTTTTAGTAGTTTAACCATAATTCCCTAATTAATTATTAAACTCACCTTCTATGGCACTTGATCAAGATTTTGCTTCTCAGTGGCGGCGCTCCTTGACGTCCATAGTCGAACACTATTTCCCTTGTACATTCTCCGTTTGCTACCACCGGCGTACTTATACTCAGTTTGATTCCATAATAGCTTTCAAAGAAAAATGAATCATCCTCGGTTACTGAAAAAAGTATTTTGAATTATGGATTCTTTGTTTATTTAGTTTGAATTTCATGATAAATTATAGTTTTAGGAATATAGTTTTGTTACTTGCGTAGCTCAAGAATTTTGTTCTCATAACCTAACGCAGTAATTCACAACTGTGTTTTTCTTAGATGTACCTATATAATTTATTATCATCAAACACATCCATTTATCATGAAGGCGTTGTGAATCTAAAGTAGTATATTTACTCTCTAGAGAGTAAAAGCCTTTTTATTCTCTAGGGAGTAAAAATCTGGTGTCGTAATCACTTATAAATTTCGATTTTGGAAATCGCATGGATCTATATATTTAGATTAATTCATTGGATAGTATAATATAAGCTTATTGTTGCAGTCTTATCAATAGTTTGACATATCGATGGTATATTGTACAGTAACACAATCGTAATAGACAAAACGATCGAATCACTTTTTAAACTGCTTATTCACCAGAATTAAAACAAGCTGGTAGTTGTTTTGAGAGGTGATCTTTACATGAAAAGTACATTCGTTATCTATCTTAGTTTTTTAATATGACGAAACATATAGATTTGCAAAATTATTATAGCTTTTTTTATCATTCGACCTCGGCTTCGCGTCAATCGTAAAAATTGAGCTCGGGTAAAAAATGTCACTTTACACCCTAGTTATGAAATATACTACTATACCCGGTTTTGAAAAAAAAAACTGATATACATTCGTGGTTATTAAATTCATGACATGCATGCATTCTTTTTACACACTCCTACAATGATGTCTTATAATTATAAAAATTATAAAGGCATATTTTACTACAATTAGTAAATTCTTAAACTATATAAAAAAACATTGAAGCGTTGCAAACCTTTTTTTGCTGAGACAGTGGTACATATTGCTGCCTGAAAATAGAACGTAAATTTAAAAAAATTATCAGAGTAAAAGGAAAATGACAGATAGACATGCACAAAACTAAATTGTAACATTAAAATAACATTATAGTTATCCAAGAAAAGTTAATTGAGATTACACTCCCAAAATAGCACATTCTTGAAGTAATGAAGTAGTTTATGAAAAAAAGTATCGCACTTACCTTCAATTTTTATTAACCTTATATACATATTTTAATATTATATTATTATATTACCTTTATTTTTTTTTACTACTGAGGAAAACTCGAGTATACCTGATAAAAAGTACGTAGGATAAAAATTAACAGATATCGATTAGTAAACGAATAAAATATTACAATAATACCTAAAAAGAAATACAGGAAAATATAATACCTACCACCAAAGCTGCGCAAACCAGGTTGGCTAAGAATGCCATCCCGAAGACTGCAACTTGAAAAGAATGAAATAGAACTAGTAACGGTTCAAAACGTACCAAATGAGTTACGTAAAAGGTTTCGCAATACTCATTTACGTCATACGAACACTTGGGAATGATGCAAAGGCAGAACACACATTGTTAATGGTTCGGGTGTAATTATCTTTCAGCGAATTTCACGTTTGTAAAAAAGTATATAATATTTCAGTCCATAAAGCCGAAATTCCGAGGACTGGGGCTTTTAAAGGACCAGGTCTTCTTCAATAGGCTTCTACCGTAACTGACCTGATGTTTCATGTCAAGACCTAGACCTGAGACCAATTTACTTTGTCGTTTTAAGGTCCCCAGAGGCCAAATAGAAAACCGTTCAAATCCACATGCATACACTTGGGCACATTAGAATATACGATAATTTTTTTTAATTCCATACCTTCAGGTTCTCCATTTGAACAATGGTAAATCTATATAACTTTTTAATTGGAGAATGGCAAAAAAATAATTTCTCATTTATTTTTGTGCAAGCTAAGCTTATAAGATATCGTTGTAATAAACAAGGAGTTTACAAGATTTAACATGTCCTGCAAATATTTTGTAAACTTAACGGTGTTCATGGAATTTGGCATCAAATAATTTAAAAAGCCGCCATTTTGAAGCGATTCAAGAGTTTTTATTCATATTTTGCACAAACATAGTGGCTGATAATAAGATAAAATTGTTTAGAGAATTTTTATGCTGTAGCTCAAACATTTAAGGAGCTCTGAATGTAAAAAAAAAAAAAAACACATACAGACAGATAGACAGAAAACGGAATTAGATAGGGCACAATTTTACATTTTTTATTTATTTTGAAATGCTGAATAACGTGAAAAATTGTTCATATGGTTGCAAGACACCCTGTATAAATAGGGAGTAAATCTGTCATTTTTAAGAGTACATTTTATTGACATTCCAATCAAGAAAATGCAAATTCTCTTAGAATGAAGAACTGCTCTGTCCGGGGGTATTATTAAATTTAAAGTCTTTGAAAAGAATTAACGAATTCGTTGTGATTTAAAATGTTTTATTAACAGAAATTCAGAAGATTTGTTTCCTACTTTTATGTTGTAACCTATCTAAAATATTTGCAATGGAAAAATTTACCAACCAAGAGCAAATATAAAAAGTATATTTGTGTGAATATCTATATCAAATCATTTTGGATTATTTTAATTTCAAATCATTATACCACCACAGTAAAATTAAACAAACTATAATGTAGAGAGTGTGATTTTGAATTATAACAAGATAAGAGTTAAACAATTCCAATAGCTGATCTTATATTTATTTTCATATGGAAATCGTACGATATTGGGTTGGATGGATACAATAGGTACACAGAAACCTATAAAATAGTATGTTACTAGTTTTTTTTCATTCAATAAACCAATTAGTAAAAGAGTGGTACGTTTGATTTAATAAAATAAACTTTCGCCTATGGAATGATGGTAATACAAAAAGAATGGCCCGGCAATTCCCTCCTGACCAATGTGTATCAATTTGCAAGTTTTCATGCAAACATGTTTCCATACCTCAACATATTCGACTTGGGACCATCCTGGAAATTATACAACTTCAAATGCACAGCAAAACTATTGAATGATTCGATTTATTAATTTAAATTCGTATTGTATATTCATTAGCGAGTTGTCAATTTAGGGAATAAACTTTTGTAGGTCTTATAGGTAAAACCTAGATCTGGGACTTTTTCGTCATACTGCAGCAACAACCGCCGTTTTAATGCATGCGTTACGGATTTAAAGTAGCAGAACCGTTTTTGGCGCCTATGGAGTAAAAATCAGCTGTTGTAAACGGTTGTGAATTTCGATTGTCGCAATCGTATCGATCGAAATAATCGATTGATTTATTAGCCTTCTATTGTCGATAGCTCGACATATCGATAGTATAATGTTCTGTAACACAACCGTAATAGACGAAATGATTGAATCTCTTACTGAAAAGCTGCTTATTTGAATTTTCAGATGAAATATTCTATTTTTGTGTTGTTGTCCCCATAGGCAAAAATACCATCAAAATTTTAAATGATATATCACATTATCTTTTTTTCTGAGTTCCATACATCAAATCTGCAGACAAATCAAGCAACATAAAGGTTTTACGTGTTAATCTTATCGCGTCATGAAAAATTCGATCGGGATGAAAGTCAACTGCCGATAACTTTTAGTAATCATAACAGGATTTTTACTGTCCAATCCAATATGGCCACTAATGAGTTTCCACAAAATTTGCGGATCCCTGCAAAAACGTCAAAGTGACTTTTGTCAGAAACTTTCCCTTATCGTGATTGCCAGTTTAAAAAAATCATGTAAAAGCACAGAATTTACTTGTAAAAACTGTGATACAAAACCTAAAACCTCCTTGATACTATAGTTTTATAATTATTAGTTGTGAATCTTTGATATATTCAAAATTAGGTAAGTTTAGTTTTGCTAATAATGCCTTCGGTATAAACTGAAGCGTTAACACGCTGGGAGAAACAGTATTATTTATTATTTTTTTCTTTAAATAAATTGAAGTGCAAATAAAATAGGGCTTGCACAAGAAATTTAGCGAAGCTTTTTATGAACAGTATTAGTAGTGTGTATTAAGTAAAGGTTGTCAACCATACTATTACATAAACAAAATCTCCATACCACGTTTTTATGACGTTTTTGGTAATGGATTGATATAAAACTGTGTATATTATTGCTAATAAGCTGATACAGGTTGTTTTTAAACGCATATACGAGCACTGCGAGATACTGAACGACAGAAAAAGCTCATAACATGTTGGTATCCCTGCTTTCTTTAGTTCATATCTGATCAGCTGATAAGCATTGCTTTCTATGAAACTATCTGTTAATGATGATTTATTGTAAATGAGATTCAACTAACATGAATGACATGAATAACACATGTGATATTGAAAAAAACCGTCTTTCTAAAATGTTCTCAGATATTTTTAGACCTCTAAAGCCTCATACGCAAATATTTTTAGAACTTTTGATTTCCAATCACGAACGGATTTTATAAACCTTAGGTAAAATAGAACTATGAAATTCTTGCAACGAATTTTACTTGCTAGAAAAACAATTTCACCTTTTAAGGATGGAAACCAACGGGGGAAAATTCAAAAGCTTTAGAGTAGAACAGTGTTGGTGAGACGGCGGTGAATAATAATTCCTTATTAATACCAAAACCATCCCTCTTTGTGGGAAAGGTAACCTTCGGGTATGTCACATAAGGTTGTCATTAAGGTTATCATAACATGGGGGAAAGTCTGTTAAATAGACACCAACCACCGAGGAATTCGAATTATAATTTATAAATTTACATTACTTGTACACTTGGGAGAAGGAATGGTTTATACCAAAATAAGTTACTAGTTTTTGTTATTTTCTAATATCTAGTTGGTGTAACCTATTTTTTTAAATCTGAAAATCAAATGAAGTACATCTTATTTTTATTTCACCTGGTGAAATCATGTAAAGTATCGTTCAAAGACTATTCTATTCAATTGTTCGTTGCATTGTGGTCATGGTGTAAATATTTAATAATTTTTCACATTGATATTTTAAAAGTTGGCTTCATAAACTGTCACCGAGAAAAATATTGCAATTTCGTAGTTATAAAACATAATTTGAATCTAAAACTTACTGCGTGAACTTACTATCTGAATCTTACTATGTTAGAATTAAGTATAGGTACAGTTATTTTTTTATTTTTCAAAGTATCTAAAATACATTTATTCATGTACTTTCTCACAATGAATCTGATCACGTCGTGAATTGTCTATTCTATATTGTTCAATTCAACCAGTGTTTGCAAGATACAAGATACTGTAATCTGAAATTAAGCCCTAGATAACCAACCTGAATGACATTTCCTATACAAATTTGTGTGCGATTCCAATCAGTTTCGTATTGCAAACATTGGTTTATACATTACATCTATACGACGTAGCCTAGCATGTGTTTTTTAAGTAAATATGGTTAAAATTATAGTCTTGTAACTAGATTTATTTCTTATAAGGTAGGATATGTGGTTCATTATATAGTTTAAAATATAAATATCATTGCTTAAGAGAGCTTTATATTTTGTTGGTCATATTTTTAAGACTTTCGCGGTAAGCGCAAATAATTGATATGTTTTTTAAGAACAGTAGCTTGAGAAAACATGCTTCATAATGCGGTAAAAATAAATAACGACAAAATCGCCATGTATTTTGAACTACTTGGACCATGTACTGAGATAAATTTAGATAAAATATACTTGATACAACTTTTAACCAAAGCTGGGAATAAACTTGCTAACTACGAGCTACGCGCTCATAGTATTATTTATACCTATACAATTAAGATCAAGTTGGTGAAACAACTGGTAGGAATTAGGAATTAGAAGCTACGGAGAAAATCGCACTGTGGTATTAAATTGTACCAACTTACACGATAATTGTGAAATTGTACAAGTAAAAGTAATGTCATACACAAACTGTTACTGAGAAAAATCCTAAAATTAGCGCTTCTTAAACAGTATAATATAAATAAAACGTCACAACTCCGTAATCTTATCATTTTTCTTTTTGTATCTTATTAAAAACCACAATTAAAATTAAATTAAGGTAAATTAAGGTCAGTTCCTTATATCTACCAATACTGAAAATAATCTTACATTGAATTTGTCAAACTGAAATAGTAAAATGAGTAAATTGTTTTAAGTCAGTATATTTTTTACCAGTTTCGAAAATTCGATACAGTTTTCAACTGTTTACGTTGCAGGAAAATGTGTTTCCAAGCAGCGTAAGGGACACAATATGGCGGGTTTAATCCCATATTTCATGAATAACACAATTGTTCAGAATTTCAGTTATAATCTTTTTAGAGGATTGAGGCAGAGCGGGGTTCCCATTCTAATTTCATATAAAAGAGACGCTTGTACTCGTGGGGCTTCAGTCTGTATTTTCTCATTAGAAACTCGCCGAGGATTGTTGCTTATTTGGAAACCGATGCAAATATACAAAGGTATTTAACTGCGTTACACTGTTATATGTA